CTCTTCTCCTCCTCTTCCTCCTCCTCTTCCTCTTCCCCCTCTCCTTTCCTCCTCCTCTTCCTCCTCCTCCTCCTCCTCCTCCTCCTCCTCCCCGCCTTCCTCTTCGCGGCCTCCTCCGCCGCAATGTAGGTGCCGCGGGGGAGGATGACCTCCCAGGCTGGAGTTGCTTCAGGGGGTGTTTTTTTCTCGCGGGCCCCCCGTGGGATCCAAAGGTCAAACCTGGCCAGCGTCGCCATACCAGGCTGGAGGGTTTCAGTTTTCGTTCGTCGCTTATTATTTTCATGCCTTTCGTCTAGTTCCGCCCGCGGCAGCCCCGAGCTGGCCGCTCAACACGTGCCATTGCTCGCTGAGGCCGTCGAGGTTGTTATCCGCCTTCTGGTTTTAGGGACACACGTTCGCGTGTGGAGTCGGCGGTAAGCTTCGAGGCGTCCCGGATCAGAACTCGTTGCGTCTCCAGGCCGCGTTCCTCCTCTTCCTCCTCCTCCTCCTCCTCCTCTTCCTGCTCGTGCTCGTGCTCCTGCTCCTGTCCCTCTTTCTCTTCTTTCCACGCGATGGGGTCCTCCGAGGGGGCTCCTGATCCGCTATGACACCCGTTGGCAGATACAGACTGTTCAGCGCAATGGAATAGGATAGGTGGGAGGGGTAGGATATCAGATATGGCGCGAGCGCACCTAGCTAGTTCTCCTTCTCCTCTTTCCTCCGTCCTCTTTTCCGCCCTTCTTCTTCCCTCCCCCGTATGGCCACTTATCCTCGTTCGGGTGGACCTTCTCCGATCACAGGGCCCACGATCAGATCACCCCGACAAATGAGCCAACCATGCGCAGCTGCGTGTGGCGCGCGATAGGTGATAAGGAGGGGGGGAGCAAGAGGAGTGGGGCGTGTACGTATGGCAGGGACGAAAGTGAAGAAACAGCAGGGGGTCGGGAATGACAAACGAGGTCAGTAACCGACGCGGCTCCCCATTGGGCCACGAAGTGTGTGAGGGGGGCGCCGACATGGACCCGACAGGGCCTGCGAACGCAGCCACTGTCGGTGGAGCTCTCTGTGGGGCCACGGCGCGTGTGAGAGGTGTGCCGAGTTGGGCGCGGTGGCCATGCGAACGCACCCACTGAGGCCTTCGGTGAAGCCCCCCCCCCTTGTGGGGTTACCAAGCGTCTGAGGGGTGTACCGAGACAGGGGGCGGTCGCGATGCGACCGCTGCCACGGGGGGCTCCGGAGGAGGTCCTCGCTGGGCCACGAACGTGTCAGTTGTGTGCCGAAATGAGGGGTGGCCGCCATGCGACCGCTGCCACTGGGGCATTCGGTTGAGCTCATTCTAGGGCCACTGAGTGTGCGACGGGTGTGCTGAAATCAGAGGCGGTCGCCATGCGAAAACAGCTGCTCGGGCGTCCTGTGGAATCCCCCATGGGGACCACAAACCTTTAAAGAGGTGATGTGGGAAGGAAAGGAGGAGGGGAACGGGGAAAGGTTTGAGTGAGACGCGGTGCGCTGCGGATTCGAAAGGAGCATCCAACACCACACGACGTTTTGGAAAAAGGATGCGGCCACGCAGATTGGCCGGTAGTGAAGGGCGGGGGATGGGGGAGGAGGAGCAGGAAGAGGCGGAGGAGGAGGAGGAAGAACAGGAGGAGGAGGAGGAGGAGGAGGAGGAGGAGGAGGAGGAGGAGAAGGAGGAGGAGGCGGAGGAGGAGGAGGAGGAGCAGCAGGAGGGGAGGGAGGTCCTTTTTCGGGTCCGGCCCGGGACCGTTTTTCGCCACGATTCTCGATCTCCCCCCCCCCCCCCTGCCCAGACTGCTGGCGTCGTGCTGTGCCACATGCGCGGGCCCGCGGGCCCCTCGGCCCCTTCCCCCGGGATCGGTTTCTCCCCTGGGACCGTTCCTTGGTCGACGGCCCCGGGGCTTCCGAGAGCGGCCCCGGCCGCCGGAAAAAAGGCGGGCCCCCCCCCAGCTTCGATCTTCTCTGGGCGCCAGAGGTGTGGGTCTGTCGTCGTCTTCGTCGTCGTCGTCGTCGTCGTCGTCGTCGTCGTGGTCGCCGCTGCCGCCGACGACGAACTACGCCGACCCTCCTTCTGGTCTCTCGCCCCCCTCCTCCTGCCTCCTCCTCGTCCTGCCCCCCCCTCTTCCTTGTCCGCGCCCTTCGTCCCTGCCTCCTCCTCGCCCTCCCGCCGCTCGCTCGGGGCCGGCCACTCGGGGGGAGGGCGGTGGCCAGGGGGTGGGCATGAGGGCCGGGGCCGCGGCACAGTCAGCCTGCAGAGTGAGGGTGGGCAACCTTCCCAAGGGTGCCCCTGCATCCTGGCCTCCTCGGCCCATCCTTCGCCACCTTCGTCGGCCGCGCCCCGCTCGAGAAGCCTCGAAGTGGGCGTCCAGGGTCCCTGCGTCCTCATCGCGCGTCCTGATGAGACGGGCCGGCTGTATCTCCCTGGGTGTCATGCCCCCCCCTTCTTACCTCGGTGCGTCCCTTGGCCCCTCCGTGGGCCGCGCAGGTGCCTCTGGCCATGGATCTGCGAGCCCCGACGCTCCTGCTCCTCCCTCTCCTCCTCCTCCTACTCCTCCTCCTCCTCCTCCTCCTCCTCCTCCTCCTCCTCCTCCTCCTCCTCCTCCTCCTCCTCCTCCTCCTCCTCCTCCTCCCCCCCATCCTCCTCCCCCTGCTCCCCCCCATCCTTGTCGTCCTCCTCCTCCTGGGTCGCCGAGGGAAATCGCGAGAGATTGCCGACCAGCCAGGAGGGTAACACATTTCCCCTTCTACAGATCTTCGGCCCGTGCTTCCCGTCCTAGGCCGGGGGGGGCCGCGGGGGTCCAGATGACCGTATGTTCATAGCTGTTTCTCTCCCCATGGTCTCGACATGTGCTGCATTTTACTCCGACTGGGTTGCAAGTGTGACCCTGGACAAAAAGAGACGGCCAGCATGAGTAGCCGTGAACAAACAAGATGCGCCCACGCGAAGACATGCCAGATCGCAGCACTCGGGATATGGACAAGCATGCTGATGTTGCGATTGGCGGGACTTGAACATAGTACCAATGAAACAGTTACCAGTTACCTTGCCAAGGAGAGCATATATGCCGTGGACAATGGAGATCGCCGCGACAGGTTGTTGCCAACGCACGGAAAGGGAGCAGCAATCTCCGACATATTTGATGTAATGGTTTCTGACAGCATCTTCAAGGAACATCCGTTTGCGGAAGTGGCCGCATCACATGCGAATTTCAAGTTTTTGCCATCGGTGGGTTCGTGGCCGTTTCACAACGTTTGCGAACATCGAAGCATCGTGTATCCTATTGCACGTCTATTGCCCCCAGCATCTCAAGTGGACAATGATGAACATAGTTTATGACTTTGCTCGGGAAGGAGGGCGCTTGATGTGTTGAGTTATGGGGCGAGTGCAATTCAAAGGTCCAGAACAAGACGTGCAGCTCACACTCGAACAACGGATTTGCTAAGGAGATGTGCATCACAATGGCGACGTGTGCGAAGTACGTTGTCTTGAGAATGCTTCTCTACGCAGTGCGTTTGTTACTTCGAGGGGCTGGTGGTACGCGAGGCAGTTTGTGGCTTCAAGGTAGCTGACCACAACACAGTCATTGAATAGGGGCATGGGCGCTTCGACGACGCAGCTGGGGCAAGATAATCTTGTTGTCACAGAGTGCAGTACGGCCACCACGCGCATGTTTTTGGCGAAAGTCAGGAAGTGCTTGGCTCCTGGAGGGGACGAGGGCATTTGATCACAGTGAGAATTCATGTGCAATACCATCAGACAGACATGCAGGCTGCTTTTGTCAATCTGACAGGATCGGGAGTATTCATCCAAACGCATGCTCATTCGAATGGAGGAGTTTCTATGCTTCGAGATCCGGTCGTTCTCTCAACAGCGAGCGCAGGACACGGCACACACGACTATGAAGCAGCGGGCAACATGCACACGAAACGAAGCCTGTCATCGCCTGGCCCCAAGTCAGCACGCAGTCATCGTCTGGCCCCCGCCCTCGCCCCTCCCCTCTCGTGGCCTGCGCCGCCCGCGTCCCCGTCCCTCTGCCTTTGTCTCCCCGCTCCGCTCCGCTCCTCCTCCCGTGCTCCCTCCCGTTGGCCGCGGCCGCCTGCCCATCTGGCTCCTCGCTCCCTGCGTGCCTCGCCCCCCGCCCCCCGGGGGCAGCGCGGAGTCCTCCACCCCGAGGGCCGGAGGCTGCGCGCCCTCGGTGTGGAAGCGTGCCACTGCTGCGCGCGTTCGGCACCGAGGAGGACTCACTTCCTGCTGCCCCTCCTTTCTCCTGGATGTCGTCCGCGTCTGGGTGCCCTCCTCCTCCTCCTCCTCCTCTTCATCCTCCTTCTCCTCCTCCTCCTTCTCCTCCTCGTCCTCCTCCTCCTCCTCCTGTCCTCCGCGGCCGGCCTGTCCCCCCCCCTCTCCCTCCTCTTGTACGCCGGCCAGTTCGCGCATCGGTCGCCCCGGATCGCCGCCCGCTTGAGCAGCACTTCTGCCTCGCCGCCGACGAAAAAAGTGTGTGTGTGTGGGGCGGGGAGAGAGAGAGAGAGAGAGAGAGAGAGACAGAAAGAGAGAGAGAGAGAGAGCGCGCGCCCAGCTCACAGGGCGGGGTTTTGCCGGAGTTTGATGGCCCTTGCCGCGGGAGAGCGGGCTCGGGGACAGGCACTCCCCCAGCTCGCAGCTCCCCTTCGCTGCATAGTCTTTGGAGCACGCTTGCTCCCTGCACGGGGGCGCCTTCAGTGTATCTCACGGAGGGGCGTCCCAGGCAGGCCTCTGGCGCGAAGCCGAGGCCCGCATGGCTTCGCGAGTTTAAGCCCTGACTTACTTGAACCAGCCCCCTAAACGCCTTCACCTTTTTTTACCTCCTCCTCCTCCTCCGCTCCTCCTCCTCCTCCTCCTTCTCCTCTTCTCCCCTCTCTCTCATCCTCCTCCTCCTCCTCCTCCTCCTCCTCCTCCTCCTCCTCCTCCTCCTCCTCCTCCTCCTCCTCCCCTGCTGGGCGCCGCCAGCGGGCGCCCAGCGGCCCCGCGCAGCGCCGCGGCCCTGCGGCATGGCCGGCGCCCCCGCTGGCGGCCTGGCGGCGGGCGCGGGCAGCTCCGCGGCAGGCGCTCCGGCGGCCCTCGGCGGGCTCGGCGGAGGCGCCTCTCGGCGGCGTCGCCTCGGCGGCGTCGCCTCGGCGGCGTCGCTCGCCGTCGGCGGCGTCGCCTCGGCGGCGGCGCCTCGGCGGCGGCGTCTCGGTGGCGTCGCCTCGGCGGCGTCGCCTCGGCGCTTCTCGGCCTCGCTTCTCGGCGCCCTCGCCCTGGCGCTTCGGGAGGCTGGGGAGTGGGGCGGGGCGGCGAGGGAGCCTCGCCATGACGGAAACGGATCCCGAGGGGAACGGGCCCCGTTGAGGGTCTTTTGGGGGTCGTTTTCGAGCTTCTGGGGCCCTCCACGGGCCCCGGGGCTGTAAACAAGTGTCTCGGGATGAAGGGCTGGACCTGTTTCCCTCAGGACCTGTTTCCTTTAAGTCGGCCTGTGCCTCTACAGGTAGTTTGGGGACTATTTTTGAGCATTTTTTTTGCCATTTTGGAGCATTCTTGGGGTGCTTTTTATTTTTCGTCGAAAATCCCCCTGTAGGGGGAACACGCCCGACTTCATGTTTCCTTCATGCCACGAGTGGGGGGGCAGCGGCAGGGGGGCGGGGACTGGCCCGGCAGGGGGGCGCAGCACAGGCCCTCGCTCGCTCACTCGTCGCAGCTCGGGGCGCGGGCCCCAGGCCCCGCCCAGCCCAGGAGCGTGGGGTCTTGCAGCCGGGGGCCTGTCGCTGATCGGTCGGCGATGCAGGTCGATTCCCGGCTATTCTCCAACCCCTCTGCCCGCCAGCGGTGCCCTTGCTGCCCCCATCGGACTCGTGTGGCGCGAAGTGTGGCAGCGTGACCCCAAAGGTCAGGAGGAAAAGGAGGACGAGTAGGAAGACGATTGGGAGGATGGGTGGTTGAGTGATGATCGTAGTGATCATGGTTGTGGTGATGATGATGGCGATGGTGGTGATGATGGTGGTGACGGTGATGGTTCTGACAACGAAGCGGATGCCAGCGATTCTGATAATGGTGAGGATGAGTATGAAGGTGATGAGGGTGATCGGGGGCGACGATGATGAGGACTAGAGAGGAGGATGAGCAGGACATGGGAATGGAAGGGGGGGGGGATGCAGGGCGGAGGGCCCGTCCTGGGGCGATCTCGGGACTCTCTTGGGACAGTTTTGGGCCGTCTTGGGAGTGTCTCTGAGATCTCTGAAGCTTTCACGAGGCGATCGGAGGCTGACCGGCCTTGTGAGTAAATCGCCCTGGTTTCTTCTGAGCGCCTCCCTGGCTGCCTCTTTCGGGGTGTATTGGAGGCTCCTTGCGGCATCCTGGGGAGATCTTGTAGCCTTCGGGGGTTCGTTTTTTCCGTCTTTGGACGGCCTCAGGGTGAGTTTCAGACCCAGGCTGGTTTAGCGCGCCGGCCTCTTGGGGCGATCTGGGGTGCTTCTTGGGGGCTTGGAACTCGAACGCGCGAGCACGCCAAAATTACATAACCTAGAATTCAAGTGTTTTGGTCGTCTCGGGGGTCCTCTTGTGGCCCTCTTTGGGCGTCGTATAGGGGCTCCGCACAGCGTTCTGGAATCGTATTGGGCTCACTGTCGTTATAGGGCGCCGAAGTCGATACATATCCACTGCTTCCCGACAAGGCCCATCCTGAACTCAGCAGCGGTGTATACGCCACGCCCTCCTAGCTTGGCCAGGAGGCCGTCTGCACAGCTCCCGGGTTCAGGATGGGCCTGGCCAGGGAGCAGTGGATATGTGTAGATCTTGCCGCCCTACGTTGCACTAACATTGCCCTTGCTGTCTATGCTGCAGCGGTTCTAGACGCCACTTCTCTTGTCGGAGTGTATCTGACCGTATTTCTGGCTGTATTCCGCGGCTCTATAAAAACAGTTCTCTCCAGTGAGGCAAAGTGATGCCCCCTCCCTCGAGCCAACACGGGCGCACGACGGACGCACCAGCTTGCACAGAACCTCGCATGCACCAGCACGAGATGGAATTCCAATTTGTGTGTCCCCTCGCCTTTTTTTTTTCTTCTCGTCCCCTGCGAGCTCCTCGTGGGACTCGTCCTGAAGCCACCTCCCTGCGCAGAGCTGCCCTGCGGGCGCTTTCTGGCTACACCGCTCGGGAAACGACACACCACAAGTTGGGTATACTTATATGTTCGGGTAGGACGCGCGCCTCCCAGGAGGACATTACAGTACTAGTATGCTGATGACGATGATGGCGAGGAGGAGGAGGAGGAGGAGGAGGAGGAGGAGGAGGAGGAGGAGGAGGAGGAGGAGGAGGAGGAGGAGGAGGAGGAGGAGGAGGAGGAGGAGGAGTTGGAGGAGGAGGGGAGGAGACCGACGAGGCGGAGGAGGAGGAGGAGGAGGAGGAGGAGGAGGCGGAGGAGGAGGAGGAGGAGGAGGGAGGAGGAGGAGGAGGAGGGAGGAGGAGGAGGAGGAGGGGGAGGAGACCGAGAGGAGGAGGAGGAGGAGGAGGAGGAGGAGGAGGAGGAGGAGGAGGAGGCGGAGGAGGAGGGGAGGAGGAGGAGGAGGAGGAGGAGGAGGAGGAGGAGGGAAGGGCGTCCCGTCCGCTCCCCCCGTCTGTCGGCGCCCTGCGCTCTCGGAAGGGCGCGAGCGGGGGAGGAGGAGAGCAGATCGCCGGCCCGGAGCTCCGGCCTGGCGTGTCGCTCCGCCGGCCCTGGCCCGCCGCGCCTCGGCGCGGCACGCCAGCCTCAAGTCGGGCCTGTCCCGCTGCAGGAGGAACACCCAAAAATGTTCCCAAAGCAGTCAGGGGACGATCCTTCGAGTGCTTCTCACTATTTTGGAGCATTTTTGGTTTGTTCAAGTTTCCGTCCAGACTCCGCCCGTTGGAGGACACGCCCGACCTCACGCCAGCCACTTCCGGCCCCCAAGCGTCAGCGTCCAGAGCTTTCCCGAGCCTCCCGCCTGGCGGAGCAGAGCGACACGCCATCCACTCGCAAGGCAGCCCCCGAGACACGCCAAGCAGAGGTTCCCGACCGTAGCAGGACGAGGAAGACGTGATGGAGGAGGATCAGATACAGAGCACTAATTTCTTATTCGTGTGGTGAACATCCCCACCCCCGCCTCGGCATCACACTTCATTTCCGATTCGTTGCCAGAACTCCAAACTATTGGAATTAGAAATGAATGCGTCCACAGGGCCACGAGAGGCTCAGGGGCAAGCTGCTGCTGCTGCTGCCTGCTGCTGGCTGCCTGCTGGCTGGCCCTCGGGATGGGAGCTTGGAGTCGACCGTACGATGAGGCAGCGCCTCAGAAGCTCCGAGAACGAAGGGCCGCTTTGCGCCAGTCGCACGCGCGCGCTGCAGGTCACGAGCCTGCGCGCAGCGAGTGCTGGCGGGTGCACGGCACTTTGCTGTCAGCGGCTGCCTGGGTCCAAGACGCGGCCAGGATATCCGAGGGACGCATCGGAGCCGAATTGGGCACCAATGAAGAACAAGGGGCGCGAGGGGAGGAGGACGCCGCGGGACACATGTAGGAGCCAAATTGGGGACAAAGGAAGCAAGAAGGGGCGTGGGGGGAGGAGGAAGCCGTGGTCTGCGGGGCACGCTCAGACCGTGAAGATCTTGTACCAGGAAGCTGGACACACGTGACGTGCCCGGCCTGGGCGAGAGCTGCATCTACACATGGCCAGCTATCTCTCCACACGTGAAACCAGCCATGTGCAGGTTTCCAGCTTCCTGGTGCGTATAGGGGGCCACATGCGCACTCTACCTTAACCCCCCACGACTTCTGAGGGGGAGGGTTCGCATGTGTCGGGTGTTACTAAAGGTGCCCCTGGCCCAAGGTGCCCCCAGGATCTCCGCCCACGGCCCCCCGGGCACCCCCGACGAGGCCCAGGGGGGCCCGAGGGGCTCCAGAAGGGAGCGAGAAGCTGGGGGCACCTTGGGCCAGGGGCACCTTCTAGCAACACCCGAGTGTGGCCCCCGAGCGTAGGCGGAGGCATGGCGCGGGCGGCTGGAGCGGGAGGAGGAGACTCGGGCGGCAGGCAGCGCCTGTCCGAGCGCGGCGCGCACGGGCGGGCTCCGCCCCGTCGTGCGCCGCTCGCTCTCCTTCGGAGGCAGGCGCAGCAGGGAGGAGGGGAAGAGAAGCTGTGCGGTCGGGTCCCGCCCGGGGCCCCCAGGCAAGGAGAGCCCGTCGGTGACAGGGCCCCGAAGCCAGCGAGTGTGCCGCAGGGCCGGACCTGAAAGGTGTTTTTTGGCGGTTTCGTGTGCCGTTCTCGTTTCGATCTCGTTTTGCGGCAGAGGCGGATTGGAGACAGAGCGAGGGAGAACGAACACAGAGCGAAAACGGTCAGTGTTGTGGAAGTCGATCAATGGAGAGGAAGCATGCTGCCACATAATTTCCAGATGTCTAAAACGTGTATTAAACATGGTTTAAGCATGCACTGCACATGCTTTAAACATGTTTAGAACACTTTCCGACATTTTACACGCATGTTAAATTCAAGGATAGGGCTGTTAGGGTGTCCGTTGTCGTGGCATCCACAAGGTTAGCGATAGGGCCCCGAAGCCAACGGATATGCCGCATTCACTGCACCAGGCCTGCCGCAGCTGGCGTCGTTCGGGTGGCAGCAGCTCCGGTGAGTGGAAATTGGGCGGGGGAGGCGTCCTGGAGTCGCTGAGAGCCAAGTCCTGCGCCATGGATTGCCCGAGAGGTGAACCAGACGAGGCAGCATTCCCCTCCCTCTTTACAGGGGGACTTTCGACGACAAATAAAACATATTCAAACAAAACTCCCAAATAGTTCAAAAATATGTAAAAAATAGTCCCCAGACTATCTTTTACTATTTTTGAAGATTTCTCCTGTAGAGGGACGGGCCCGACTCGAGATTAGATTACAGATGGGCCCTCTCGTCCAAGGTGAGAGGGCCCCTTCCGTCCTGCCCCTGCGAGGTGGAGCTTCGCCTCCAGTGCAGTGGCATGGGGGGGCGGACGTTTGGGGATCGCAGGGGGAAGTAGGGGGAGGTTGGGTCTGACTTTTTGGAGCCTGCTGGAGTAGCGGATCAGCATGTTGGGTTGTGACGCTGACATGTTTGTTCGCAATGCGCGTCGTGAGGGGAGGCGGTGGGGGGAAGAGGATGAGGACGAAGAGGCGAAGGAGAAGAAAAGGGAGGAGGATGAGTCCGAGGCAGAGGATCATGAGGTCGAGGAGGCGGAGGAAGGAAGTGAGCTGAGGAGGAGGAGGAGGTGGAGGAGGAGGAGGAGGAGGAGGAGGAGGAAGGAAGATGGCAATGACGATGCTGATGTTGGTGATAATGACGACAATCAGGATGTGGCTGATCATACAGGTGGTGGTGCGATAATGCTGATTATGATGATGCTAATGTTGCTGCTGATGATGATGATGATGATGATGATGATGATGATGATGATGATGATGGTGGTGACGCTGACGATGATGATGACGATGATGATGATGATGACGATGAGGATGGCGATGACGATGACGATTGCGATGAGGATGACGATACCGACGAGGATTCTGGTAACGACGATGATGCTGATGATGATGCTGATGCTTCTGATGATGATGCAGATGATCATGCTGATGATGAGGATGCTGATGATGATGATGATGATGATGATGATGATGATGATGATGATGATGATGATGATGATGACGACGATGATGATGATGATGGCGGCGAGAATGAGGATGCTGATGCTGCTTATTAAAACTTATTCTTACGATGATTGTGATGACGATGCTGCTGCTGCTGATGATGCTGATGCTGATGATGATGATGGTGATGATGATGATGATGCTGCTGCTGATGGTGGTGATGATGCTGACTAGGATGATGCTGATGGTGATGCTGATGATGATGGTGATGATGCTGCTGATGTTCTCGCTGACGACGAAGACGATGATGACAACGAGGATGATTATCAGTATGACTACGGGGGTGAAGGTGATGCTGATGACGACGATGATGACGTTTTCAACTTCGATGGCGATGATGGAAGTAACGATGATGATGATTACGATTACGAGGATGGTGAAGGCGACGATGACGATGATGACGATGCTGACGATGCTGCTGATGATGATAATGCTGCTGCTGCTGCTGATGATGATGATGCTGATGCTGATGATGATGCTGACGATGATGATGATGATGATGATGATGATGATGATGATGATGATGATGATGATGATGATGATGATGATGCTGATGATGATGATGATAATGCTGACGATGCTGCTGATGATGATTATGATGATGCTGATGATGATGCTGATGATGATGCTGATGCTGATGCTGATGATACTGCTGATGCTACTAATGATGACGATGCTGATGATGATGATGATGATGATGATGATGGTGGTGGTGGTGGTGATGATGATGATGTGATGATGATGCTGATGATGATGATGATGATGATGATGATGATGATGGTGATTGTGATGATGATGATGATGATGATGATGATGATGATGATGATGATGATGATGATGATGATGATGATGATGATGATGATGACCAGGCCGAGGAGGAGGGAGGAGGAGGAGGAGGAGGAGGAGAAGGATGAGGAGCAAGAGGAGCAGGAGCAGGAGCAGCAAAAGGAAAACAACAATGAGGATGAGGGCGAGGACGAGGAGGTGGAGAAGAGTGAACGGGCGGAACTGTCTGTGGCACGCCCCAGGGCCAGCGGATGACGTGCGGCGACGGCTGCCATGGTTGTGGTGCAGCGACATGGTGGCGCTGGCCCACCAGCTGGCCACTGCGGACCCCTGCCTCCGGTCCGCGCCGCTGCTGCAGATGCCTGGGACTTGGGCGCTGGTCCGATCGTCCCCCCACCTCCTCCCCTCTGACCTCGGCAACTGCTGTCTCCATTCTGCCATGAAACTGACCCCATGTACTCACTCTCGTGGCATTCCGCGGATTCTCGAGAATCGTTGCTCGTCAGAGATGTGGTTGGTTTCTGAAGTTATCCGAAGCATGTCCGCCAGATCCGCTCTGATGATCACCAGTGATTGTTGCCAGTTCGGGACCCCTTGGAGAAGACGTAGTTTGCTCGCGTGCGGTAACGTCCCGCAGCCGGAGTTGTGCAATCTTGAAAGGCGCTGCCTTGGCACGCGCGGGTATTGCTCTGCTACTAGCTGTAAGCATCACCAGCTAGAAGGCTCAGCGATGACTAGACGGCCCAGCCTCACCCACGCCCGCTCTGCAGGTCGCTCGCACCCGCCCTTGCACATCACTTGCGCAGGGCCCAGGCTAACTTCTCTGACCTTGCACTCGTTTCCCCCTATCCCCCACCGAGCTCCCCGAGCGCCTTTTATTTTACAACAAGCTGAGTCGCAGAACTTCCCATTTTCGGGGCGACTTCGGGACAGTTTTTTATATCCTCGGTCCAGGGGAGCTGGCCTTCTCTTTCTCTTGGCTCCTGGACGGACGGAGCGGCAGCTCGGGCGCAGACGCCAAGACGTGAACGTCGCTTACGAGACGCATGTCCGCCAACAGGAGCCACTGGGGTGAGTGCACGGAGCTAGCTGTCGGCGGCGAGCGAGGGGGGGGGGGGAATGAGAAGGAGAAGTCCTTCTCAGAAGGCTCGGAAGTCCCCCGGCCTTCTGAGAAGTCTTGCCGCAGAGATCTCCTCAGAAGGCGCGAGGGCTTCTGAGAAGCCCCGCCGCCTTCTGAGAAGGCCTTCTCCTTCCCACTTCCCCCCCTCGCTCGCCGCCGAATCTGATGAGGGTTCACGCAATGGGGTGATGTCGCAGAGGATGGGTCGCTGCAATTTGTTTTTGCTCCTTCGAGGTCGACTGCTTGGCCCGCGCAGCCCCACCCCAGGACAGTGTTTTGTAGCCTCGGTCCAGGGGAGCTGGTACTCCTCCTTTGGCCCCGCCGAGGGGGATGGCAGCTCGCGCGTAGCGGTGAAGACGTTCGAGGCACTTGCTGGACACACTCCCGCCAAAAATAGGCTCCCGTCTCTCTCTCTCTCTCTCTCTCTCTCTTTTTCTCTCTCTCTCTCTCTCTATCTTTCTCTCTCTCTCTCTCTGTCTCTCTCACCGTGTAGGTATTTATATGGCTCTGTACGTGAGCACATATGTAAATATACACATGGACACATTCATGCTCTCGCGTAGGTGCATACAGGTGTAGCTATACACATCTATATGCTTATGAACACATGTGCACATGCCAATGTGTAGGTATACACACATTACATGTAACACGATACAAGGGCGAGGTGTGTATATATGGTATATGTATATAGATAAATAAGCGTGCATGCATGCATGTATATGTGGGTGTGGAGCTCTACAGGAACACGCAAAACGATAGAGGGATATAGATATCGAGGGTCGCACAAGTCCATCAACATACAAACATATCAGAAAGAGAGGGTGCCGAACGGACATTCACTGTTCCTGGACGCGTGGCCGAGAGTCTCTACGGTGCGGAATGAGGTTGTTGTGGTTGTTGCTGCTCTTGTTGAGTTCTCATTTCTGAAGAATAATGATTGTTGATCCCCCCACTGGTGCATACTTCTTCTTCTCAATCAAAGTGTGCCCCTCGACGTTCGCACCCTGTTTTTTAATCAGGGAAAGTCTTGAGGCTCAAACTGGGCCCCTGGACCCCGGGTTACAACAACAACGGCTCCCGCCCAAGACTTCCTCAACATTTAGCCAGGACCCCCGCTCCCGCCCGAGACGTCCTCGCATTTTATTCAGGAGTCGCGCTCTCGCTTGGGACTTCTTACAATTTGTTCAGGAATCGCTCTCCCGGCGCTCTGGAGTCGCGCTCTCGCTGGAGACTTGCTTGCAATTTAGTAAAGAATAGCGCCCTTGCGTTGGAATTTCTTGCAATTTACTCAAGCGCCGCGCTCCCTACACCCAGGCACCTAGAAGTCGCGCTCACGCTTAGGACTCCCTCACAGATTACATAGGAATCGGGATCTCGCTGCCCTTCGTGGCCTCGTTGCAGCCCCTCGTGGCCCCCTCGCTTTGTTTCGTGGCCCCGTTGCAGCCCTTCATGACACCCTCGCTGCCCTCCGTGGCCCCTTGCATCCCCTCGTGGCATCCACGCTGCCTTTCGTGGCCCCGTTGCAGCCCTTCGTGGCCCCCTCGTTTTGTTTCGTGGCCCCGTTGCAGCCCTTCATGGCCCCCTCGCTGCCCTTCGTGGCCCCATCGCAGCCCTTCGTGGCCCCCTCGCTGCCCTCCGTGGCCCCCTTGCTGCCCTTCGTGGCCCCGTTGCAACCCCTCGTGGCCCCCTCGCTGCCCTTCGTGGCCCCGTGTATGTATGCCCTTCGTGGCTCCCGCTCTTTCGCGCCCGTGGTGGCCCCATATGCATGCCCTTCGTGGCCCCGCTGTCGCCCTTCGTGGCCCCCTCGCTGCCCTTCGTGGCCCCGTTGCTGCCCTCGTGGCCCCGTCCTTGCCCTCCGCGGCCAAGTATACGTATGCCCTTCGTCGCCCCCGCTCGTTCGCGCCCGTTGTGGCCCCATGTGCATGTCCTTCGTGGCCCCGCTGTCGCCGTTTGTGGCCCCCTCACTGTCCTACGTGGCCCAGTTGCTACCCTCGGCGGCCCTATCGTTGCCTTCTGTGGCCCCGCATTATCTGCCCTTCGTGGCCCCCGCTCGTTCGCGCTCTTCGTGGCCCCATACGCATTCCGTTCGTGTCCCCGCTGTCGCCCTTCGTGGCCTACTTCGTGTACTTGTGGCCCTGCTGTCGTTCTCTCTCGCTCTCGCTTTCGCTCGTCGTCGTTGTCGTCGCCGTCGTCGTCGACGTCGTCGTAGTCGTCGTCGTGGTCGGTCCCCTGTCCGTCCCTCTTGGGGTCGGGTCGACGGTCCGCGGCCGCCCCGCCGATCAGCGCTGCCGCTGGCCAAGCCGCCGGTCCGCGGCCGCCCCGCCGCTTGCCGGGGCCCGGCCTGCAGGGAAGAAAGGTATAACTTCCAAAAGGGGCTCGATCGAAGACGAAGTGGGCGGGTATCGAGGGTTTGGGAAATACGCGTTATTGGACACTCGAACAGATACGGGCGAACAGTCTTAAAATGATTGTTGTTGTTATTGTTGCTGTTGTTGTTGCTGTCGTTGTTGTTGTTGTTGTTGTTGTTGTTGTTGTTGTTGTTGTTGTTGCTGTTGTTGTTGTTGTTGTCGTCGTTGTCGTTGTCGTTGTCGTTGCCGTTGTCGTTGGCGTTGGCGTTGTCGTTGTTGTTGCTGTTGTTGTGATTGTTGTAAGCAGTTATCATTGTTGGACCCTCCCAGGCGCTTTGGCGCTCTCGCCTCGGCGCCGGCTACATTTCCATTGAAAATGAGGCTCACGCTTGAGCGGTCTGGTGGGATGCCAAAACGGGATCCCCAACAACAACATGCTCCCGCTCGAGACCGCATCCTTCTTCACTCAGGGCGGTGCTTTTGCTCACCGCCGAAAGCCGCCGTCCGAACAAAACCAGCGCTACCGCTCGAGACTTTCTCCCGTTTTACCTTGGACCCCCAGCAAGAACAACGCTCCCGCTCGAGACTTCCTGCCTTTTTTGCTCAAGGCGGTGCTCCTCCTGGCCGCCGAAAGCCGCCGTCCCGGCAAAACCAGCGCTCCCGCCCGAGACTTCCTCCGAGTTACGCTGGACTGGCGCCCTACTCTCTTTTGAATTGGCGCCGCTCCCTGCAAGAACAACGCTCCCGCTCGAGGCTTCCTTTTTTTTTTTTTTTCCTCAGGGCCGGTGCTTTTGCTCGCCGCCGAAAGCCGCCGTCCGAACAAAACCAGCGCTACTTCTCGAGACGTCATCCCTTCTCACTCCAGGCGGTGTTCCTCCTCGCCGCCGACAACCGCCGTCCCATCAAAGTCAGCGTTCCCGCTCGAGACTTCGTTTTGTTTTACGCTGGACTACCGCCCTACTCTCTTCAGCATTTGCGCCGCTCCCAGCAACAACAGCGGCCCTGCTCGAGACTTCCTTCCTTTCTACTCAGGGCCAGGTCCTTGCCTCGCCGCCGACAGCCCCCATCTCCACCAAGGCAATCCTGTCGCTCGATACTTCCTTGTGCTTTACCCTTGGCTGGGGCTCCACTGGCGTTCTCGCATCGGCGCAGCAAGGCGCGGGCATGCGTTTTCGAGACGGCATATGTTGAAATTCTTCGGAGGAGGTGCTTGCAAAACCTCATCGAGCGGAAGATCGGGGAATGGGAATAACGGACCCGGCTAGAGAACAATAACCCCCATGATGGGTATGGTTATCATGATGGTCGCATGCTTCGTGTGAAACATCGCGCATGATGGTAATATTATTGTTGTTGTTGCTGATGTGGCTGTTCTGGTATTTGTGTTTGTTGTTGCTGTTGTTGTTGCTGCTGTACATGTTGTTGTTTTTTTGTAATTGTTGTCGTTGTAGTTTTTGTAGTTGTTGTTGTTGTTGTTGTTGTTGTTGTTGCTGCCGCTGTTGCTACTGCTGTTGTTGTTGTTGTTGCTGCTGTTTTTGTTGTTATTGTTTTCTTGCGGTTCGTTGTTGTTGGTTATTGTTTGTTGTTGTTTGCTGTTGCTGTTGTTGTTGTCGTCGTTGTCGTTGTCGTTGTTGTTGTTGTTGTTGTTGTTGTTGTTGTCGTTGTTGTGTTTGTTATTTGTTGTTGGTTGTTTGTTATGTATTGTTTTTTGTGTATTGCTTCTTGTTTGTTGTTTGTTGTCGTCCCCCCCCCCCGCGACCCGGCCCGCGACCCGGCCCGCGACCCACCCGCGACCCGCCCGCGACCCACCCGCGACCCACCCGCGACCCACCCAGCGACCCGCGCGCGACCAATCCGCGACCCACCCGCGACCCGCCCGCGACCCACCCGCGATGCACCCCGCGACCCGCCCGCGACCCCCCCCCCGCGACCCTCCCGCGACCCACCCGCGACCCACCCGCGACCCATCCGCGACCCTGCCCGCGACTCACCCGCCACCCGATCCGCAACTCGCCCGCGATCCACTCGCGACCCACCCGCGACCCACCCACACTGCTTGGACGAAAAAATCGTCGCCTGCGGCGAGCTCGTGGTATAATTTGTGAAATTTGGCGCCTGCGGCGAGCTTCTTCAGAGCCTCGCAGACTGCAGACGTTCCCGCCGCCCCCTCAATCGGATCCGTAACTGCGGGGTGTAAAATACACCTGAACACACACTCATTTGGAATGTATGCCATCGTTGACCGCAAATCGTGTAACAAGTGAGGTATCGCACTGTCGATGTGTAAGTCTTGTGGGGGCACGCTATGTGGTCGGTGCAATGCGGTGCAAGCTACGCGGCGAGAGCTATGTGGTGCAAGCTGAGATCGTAAGCTATGTCGTGCAGGTGAAGGCTATGTGGTGTATATGGGTGGTGTAAGCTGCGCTGTGAAAGCTGTGTGGTGCAGGTTCTGTAGTGTAATCTATGTGGCGCAACCTTTGTTGTGAAAGTTATGCGGCCGCCCAACGCGCGATGCGCCCACGAGGCGCTTACGTGCGCCCACGTGCGCCCACTTGCGGGCATCACGCGACACCTCGGCTGACCCACCCAGCGCACGAGGCGCCCCCGAGACGCCCACGGTAGCCCACGGTAGCCCAGGGGTGGATGGACACCAAGCGGAACATCGGCTGACCCAGTTTCCAGGACATTCAAAACTTGTATTACAAACGTATTTGCGAATGTCGTGCTGAATGTTCTGCAGGCGTGTCGAGCTAGCAGAACATTCAAATATTGCCAGAGAGAGAGAGAGCGAGAGAGAGAGAACACAAGAGAGAGAGAGAGACAGAGGGCTACACATACATATATACAGAGAGAGAGAGAGAGCAATTCGAAAAGGAAAGAGAGGGATATATATATATAGAGAGAGAGAGAGAGAGAGAGAGAGAGGGCGGGACAGAGAAGAGTGAGGGACGGTGCGCCGACTGCGACGCGAGGGGCTCGCTGTCTCGGCCTGGCGCTGCCTTGGCGATGGCGCCCACCAGCGACCCATCCCTGCCGGAAGCCGTGGCGAATCGCCCGGAGCGCGCCCCTCGGCGGAGCCCTTCAGCTGCGCGTCGTCGGCCGCTCTCGGCGCTCGTCTTCAGTCGGGCCTGTCCCTCTACAGGGGGGATGTTCAAAAATAGTTCAAAAAATAACATGGGGACGATGTTTTGAGTATTTGTTTGACCATTCTTGGAGTATTTTTCCCTACCTAGGCTCTGCCTAGAAGGGTTCTTACTCGGTGTGCTTAAAGGGCCGGGCAGTGGAACGCGCCCCGGGCGGTTCCCCCAGTATCCGCCCCGCGGTTCCCCCAGTTACCTCTCCTTAGCTTAGCGTTGCTTATCTCATCTTAGCTTAACTTATTACATCTTAGCTTATCTTAACTTCATCTTAGCTCAGGTTTATCTTAGCTTAGCTTACCTTCATTTTAGCTTCGCCGAAATTTAGCATAGCAGAGCACAGCATAACATAACATAGCGTAGCATAGCATAGCGCAGCACAGCATATCATAGCATAGCCCAGCATAGCATAGCATAGCGCAGCATAGCATAGCATAGCATAGCATAGCATAGCGCAGCACAGCACAGCACATCATAGCACAGCACAGCGCAGCGCAGCATAGCATAGCATAGCAGAGCATAGCATAGCAGCAAAGCAAAGGCACATCAACAGCGGCAGCAAAGCAAAGCACAAGCAACGCAAAGCAAAGCAACGCAACAGCAAAAACAACACAAAGGAAAGGCAAAGCAAGCAGTCCGTCCCGTTATGCACAGCATAGCATAGCATAGCATAGTACAGCGCAGCATAGCATGGCATAGCATAGCATAGCGCAGCACATCACAGCACAGCATAGCACAGCGCAGCATAGCGCAGCATAGTATAGCAGAGCATCGTATATCACATCATATAATAGCATACCATAGCGCAGCTCAGCATACCATACCATATCATATCACAGCATAACACAGCGCAGCATGGCATATCATAGCTTACCATAGCATATCATAGCATAGCGCAGCATATCATATCATATCATAACATAGCATATCATAGCATAGCGCAGCATAGCATGGCATAGCATTGCATAGCATAGCAACTAATGCTGCGTTCCTAGGGGCTCCAACTTCTAGGTAGGGTCGCACTGGGGTATTTTTTTGATTTTTCGTCCAAATCCCCCCGTATGGGGGACAGGCCCGACTTAACGCTCGTCCGAGACCGAGGCTCGGGGTGCTGGAGCGGGGCTCGCAGCTCTTCCACTCCGAGGAGATGGCCACCGAGGCGTGGCTGCTCCAGATACAGGACCGCCGCGCCGCGGGCTTTCGCCGCCCTGCGCTGCCTGCCTCATCGAGGATCAGACTACCCTTTATCCGAACAACTTGGTGAAGACGTGACCTCACTGAGGCCCGCGTTTTTGAATCTTTAGATCTGGGCGGTTGGGTTCGATCCATCTGCAGAAACAGGCCCCCCTATCCCTTGTGATCCTGGCCCTCCTAGCATGGGCCGCCTCCCACGGGGTCAGGGAGTCAGGGGTCCTCTCATGCCCAATCGCTGCCAGCCCTCGGGGGCCCTCGAAGCGGTGCGGTGACCGCACCGCGAGGTGAGCCAACGTGGGTCAGGAGTGGCCGCGCGGGTGGGGCACTCGGGCCGTTCTCTCCGAGGTCGCCTGGGGCCACCGGGGCCTCCAGAGGGTCCCAGGACCGTGCAGTGACGGACCGTGCGGCCTCCAGAGCTCTGCCGCTGGACGGCGAGGAGCATGCCGCACCGGCGACCTCGCCGGAGACGGCAGCCCCCGGCGGAGCGCCCCGCCCCCTTCTCCTTCTCCGCCTCCTGGCCGCAGTCGGGCGGCTGCAGTCTCTGTGGCTTCGCGCTCGTGGGATGTAGTCCCCGCGAGGGTCCCCCCTCCCCCTCCTCCTCCTCCTCCTCCTCCTCCTCCTCCTCCTCCTCCTCCTCCTCCTCCTCCTCCTCCTCCTCCTTCCCCTCCTTCCCCTCCTTGCCCTTCTCCTCCTCCTCCTCCTCCTCCTCCTCCTCGTCCTCCTCCTCCTCCTCCTCCCTCCTCCCTCCTCGGCGGACGTTTTTTTTTTTGTTCTCTCTCTCTCTCTCTTCTTTCCCGCGGTCTTCTTCTGGATCTTCTACTGTCCTTGCCTTGTCCGCCCTTCCCTGCTGGCCAGTGTCGCTCCTCCCCCTCTGCCTCCTCCCCTCGGGGCCAACGATAGGGGGGGGTAGGCACAATGAGGGGGGGATGCATCGACCCCCGATCGCCCATTGATCGCCGATGAGGCTCTGCCAGCTCCACCCCGCCCAGGCTCGTGCGGAGTCGCGATCGGCGGCCCAGCGCCGATCTGCCGGCGGTGCATCGCCGATTCCAGGTCGACGCTTCCCCGCCCCCCCCCCCATAGTCGGCCCGGATTAGTAGGCCGACCCTGCCAGCTCGAGGGTACCCTCGTGCCGTCCTGTGCCTCGCGGCACGTGCCTTCTTACGCTCCTGTGGCGATGTGGCCCTCGGCAGGGTCTTGTGTCCTCTCGGGTGCCCTGTCCAATCGAGGCCGACTGCATGCCAGTCCTCCGCTGTGCCAGTCCTCCGCTAGGCCAGTCCTCCGCTATCGTTGCCCCTCCGCCTCGGGCGGCCCGTGCGGCGCCATCGACGACGCGGACCAGGGGGAGGAGGAGTATGAGGAGGAGGAGGAGGAGGAGGAGGAGGAGGAGGAGGAGGAGGAGGAGGAGGAGGAGGAGGAGGAGGAGGAGGAGGAGTAGGAGGAGTAGGAGGAGGAGTAGGAGGAGGAGGAGGAGGAGGACGAGGAGGAGGAGGAGGAGGAGGAGGCTAGAGGACGGCTCCAGCGCGGGGGGAAGAGGGAAGGACGAGAGCGCCCCTGTGCCGGCGGGGCGCGCCCCGAGGTTCGATCGAGGCACGGGGGAGCTGGCCGCCCAAACTTTTTTTTGTTTTTCGCCCGCGGGGGGTGGGCGTCCGAGGGGCGTGCTCTCCTGGCCGCGCGGGGCCCACTTCGACGCCAACTCGATGCGGCTTCGGATTCCGGCTTTCGATTCCGACTCGATGCGTCCGCGGGGGGTGGGCGCCCGAGGGGCGTGGGCGTCCGAGGGGCGTTCTCCTGGCAGCGCGGGGCCCACTTCGGCTCCAGCTCGATGCGACTTCGGATTTTCCGACCTTCGATTCCGACTTTCGATGCGTCTCCGGCTCTCCGGTCGATATGCCGATGCCGCTCCGGCTTCGGAGAGGTTCCGCTTCGGAGGTCGGTCTCTTTCAATGGGAGGCTTTTCTCTTGCCCGCCGCTTTCCGCCGATGCGGCTTCTCTACCGACCTGCCTGCCGATGTTTCCGCAAAGCCGATTCCCTATCGCCGATCCGACTCACCGATTCGATCTTGGGCCCTCCTGCAGCGGGGGGTGGCCTGCGACACCTTGTGCACCGTAGTAGTTGCACCGTCTGGCAGCACTGTAACCCAGCATTGTGAGGGCAGCGCAGCGCCGTTCAGCGAGACGTGTCTAACTTTACAAGTGCGTTGTTGGGTCGTCCTCGGGCCCGCGCGTCGGCGTGCCTGGTGAGTTTTGCTGCCGCTGGTGGGCGGCGGTGTTTTGAGGGTCCCCCCCCTCTCCCCCCGCCCTCCCTTCCCTGGCCGGAGCTTTGCCGCCCCCTCTCGCGCCGCACTGCCGTGATTGTGCATCGTAGTCCGAGACCCGGCAAGGCACGCGCCCTTGCTTGACTGAGCCCACAGGTTTTTTTTTTTTGCAGTCGCATGTTTTTTTTACACAGTTTGCCAATGCGCAGTCCAGGCGCGGTTTCTTTCGTTCAGTCGTTCGTTGATCTCGCGGCAGCGTTTGGCCTGGCACTCGGGCCGGACGTCATGCGTTTCAAGCTTATCGGGCGTGTGCTCATATATTCTCCAGCACTTTCTTTTTTCGCCTATTCGTGCCGCAACATCCCCCTTCAAGAACATAGTTTTCCAACACGAATTTTCGGAATGCTTGGATGGTTTCGCGGGAGCGGTTCATCCGGCGGCAGCCAGCATAATAATAACACTTTCGCCCGAATGATTTCTCGTGCGGGCCCACAGGGGTCGCCCCAGTGCTTGCTTGCGCGCTTGGATTTGCCCCCCCCTCCCCACCCCCCCCCCCCCCACCCCCCCCCCCCCCCCCCACCCCCCCCTCCCCCCCCCCCCCCCCTCTCCCGGCCGCACCCTAAAGCCGCGCACCAAAGGTCACTCGTGCCTAGGGCCACTCCTTGCGTGTAGCCGACTCATGGGGGTCTGGGCCCGTTTTGGCGTTGTCTTGGGGCCGCTTGTGAGTGCGCCTTGGGGCCCTGTTGGGCCCCCCTTGGGCTGCGTCGAGGCCCTCCTGGCCGTCTGGGGACTTCTGGACTGGCTCGGTCCTCAAGCGCTGGCCCACCGCACAGCTAGCAGGGCCTGCCGCGTCGTCTTCTTCTTCCTAATCATCATTTGATTATAATTAATATTCGTTTTCTTCTCCTTCTTCTTCTTCTTCTTCTTCTTCTTCTTACTATTATTGTTATTATTATTATTATTATTATTATTATCATTATTATTATCATTAGTATTCGTACTACTACTACTACTACTACTACTACTACTACTCCTACTACTACTACTATTACTACTACTATTCTGCTTCTTCTTCTTATTCTTATTATTATTCCTATTCTTATTATTGTAACTCTTCTTCGTGACCTCACGGGTGCCCTCGTCCTCTCGGCGGCGAACACACGGCAGGTTTAGGATGAGGACAACTCGCTCCAGAGCGTTCTGGAAAGCTCTCGCAGCGTTCCCGGGCGCTCTGGATTGGCCGCGGCGCCCGAGGCACCCTCTAGACCCTCTGGCCCTCCTGAACTCTCAGCTTACTTCATTAGTGGATTTAATTGGTTTTAGGGTTTTCATACATGGTCGCAGCCACGCAGAGGGCGTGCGTAGCGACGCCCCAAATGCTCGGTCTCCAGTACTTCTACGTGGCGGCGCCCCCGCAGGCACGCAGAGGGCACGCGTGGCGACGGGGGCGTCGCCACGCAGAGCTTCTAAAGACCAAACATTTTGAATACCAATTGTTTCCACTACTAAAAGTATCCTGATTTGCATCTGTCCCCTCACCCTGCCCTCGTCTCGGGCGGGGGACGGCATGGGGAGAGGCCAGGGGGGGCGGGGAGGGGGGTGAAGGCAGTGGGGGCCAGGGCTCGGGCTGAATGGTGTCTTGGCAATGTCGTGGGTCGTTGTCGTTTTGATTTCGGTTTGCAGCAGAAACGGAACGAAGACAGAACGAGGGACATCGAGATCAGCTCGAAAACGGAAAATGCCGATCAGCTCAAGCATTGGCGAGGGGGAGGGGGAGGGGAGGGGGAGAGGGAGCGAGAGAAGCCCGGGGAAGATGGGGGAGGAGGAGGTGGAGGAGGAGGAAGCAAGACGACTCGGAGAAGGAGAAGGAGGAGGAGGTGGAGGAGGAGAAAGCAAGAAGAGGTGGAGAAGGAGGAGGAGGAGGAGGAGGAGGAGGAGGAGGAGGACGAGGACGAGGACGAGGACGAGGACAGCGAGGAGGAGCAGTACATTGCCCCCAGTAGTCGAGGCGGACGGTGCCCCCCCCTTGGCCGGCTCGCACCCTGCGCGGCCCGCCGTGGCGCTGTCGCCGCAGGAGAAGCTGCACGGCGGTGCCGTCGAGGCCGCGGTGCGGGACCTCGCCGGGAAGGCCGCGTGCTCGAGCAGGACGCCCTTTCCAGAGCTCCCCTCGGGGGCGACGTTGGGGGCAAGTTTTTTTGGTGTGTGGTGTAAAAGCGAAAGCAAACAACCCTTTGGGCCATAGAGCGCGTCGTGCCCCCTGCCCTCCCTCCCTCCCCCTCCACTCCCGCCCCCCCCATAACGTGACGCTCCCCCCTCAGTGCGTCCCCGGCACTGCCGCAGTGCGTCCAGCACCACAGTCTGGGGGCGGGGGGGGGGGCACTGCGTTAGGCCCCCTCCTGTTCCCCCCACTCTTTGCCCCCGTAACGTCCGTTATGGCCGCGAATAAAAAAAAATGCGCTCGGGGGGATCAGCTTGTGGGGCCACTCGCCCATGGATCGCCGCCAGGGGGGCCCGATCGCGCACCCCCGCCCAGGAGCGCTCGGTTTCACTATCGGGGGCCTAGCGCCGATCTATCGGCGATGTACCGCCGATTCAAGCTCGATGTTTCCCTCCCTGAGCTGGTCCCCCCCTTACGTTGCTCCTCGGTCTCGCTCGTACGCCGGTTTCCGTGGGCTTTCGCCAGCTGCATGAAGGTCTTCTGGCCTCGGGGTGCTCGCCAGCAGCTGCGCCTTTCGCCGAGAGCGATCGGGGGGTGGCCGAGTCGTTCCGCGTGGCCGCTGGGGGCCTGAGGAGGAGGAGGAGGAGGAGGTGGAGGAGGGAGGGAGGAGGAGGAGGAGGAGGAGGAGGTGGAGGAGGAGGGAGGAGGAGGAGGAGGAGGAGGAGGAGGAGGAGGAGGAGGAGGAGGAGGAGGATCAGACATCCAACGGGTAGGGCGAGAAGGGCGACGATGAGGAGCTGCGCTCCGAGAGCAGACGCGCAGGCTCTCCACCGCGCCTGGCCTCTGGGGAGGCCCCGCCGGGCCCACGGGCCGTGAGGCGCACGCTTTGGGACGAGAGGCCCGCCCTTTGCTCCCGGGGACCCCGTGTTGAGAATGCGGACGTCGAATCTCTGGGCCTCCCTGGGAGAGGAGCTGGGGGACGGGGTCTGAGGAGTGGAGGGGGTATATAGCATGTAGGTATATACATAGAGAGATAGAGAGATAGCGAGAGAGAGAGAGAGAGAGCGAGAGAGCGAGAGAGCGAGAGAAAGAGAGGGAGGAACATGAAGACAGAAAGAGCGAGAGAGAGAGAGAGGGAGAGGGAGGGACAGAGAGAGAGAGAGATCGACATCGACAACATGTTGCACCACGTTGCGTTGCTCTTCGCACGCGTGCGCGACCCCTCTCTCCCCATCCCCCCAATTTACTATTGGGGGCATCTGCGCGTGCGCGACCCCTCTCTCCCCATCCCCCCAATTTACTATTGGGGGCATCTGCGAATGGGCTCCTCCGGATTTCCCAGGCGCCCGACATAATGTTGCACCACCGAGCCGTTTCGGCGATCCGTAGTCAATATTTGATTGGGGGGAGCGGGGGGTGAGCGAGCGCGAAACGTCGATTGCACAACGACGTCTGATGTCGCGGGCACCAAGTGGTGCAACATGTTATCGATGTACCGTATTCATATGGAGTGATCGAGAGAAGAGAGAGAGAGATGATAATAGCGACACGCGGAGAGAGAGAGAGAGAGAGAGAGAAAAAAAAACAAGTGTCAAACACAAGAGTCGACTAGACGCAAGAGTGACCTTTCGCCGGAGTGACCTTTGGTGCGGGCACAGATGGGTCCCCAGATGGCTGAAAACGAAGCAGTAGCAGCTGCTTGTGCGCCCAGGTTTGGTCCCCCTGCGGCCCCCCACAAGTCGCGCACCAAAGGTCACTCGTGCCCAGGGTCACTTTTGCGTGTAGCCGAAAGAGAGAGAGAGAGAGAGAGAGAGAAAGACAACAAAAAAGAGAGAGGGAGGGAGAGAGCAGGATGGAGGAATGGAGGGAGGGCGGATGTACACATACACACACATATATATATATATATATACACATGTATCGTTATACACCTATACACATATCAGATGTGCAGACATACACATCTACACATCGAGGCACCCCATGCACATCGATGGCGCTCCAGCAGGACACGGGTGGTGAATGCGCGCGCCGCCCTGGGCCGCAGAGCGAGCTGCTCTCACCGCGGGCGGCGCGCCACGCTGGCCCGCGGCCCGAGCGTCATCTTGGGCCGCCAGCTGCTCCGCGGGCGCGCCAGCCGCGCAACGCGCGGCGAGGAAGGGGTGCGGCTGGGGGAAGGAGGCCGACGGGCACGGTCCTCCTCCTCCTCCTCCCCTCCCCCCCTCCTCCTCCTCCTCCTCCTCCTCCTCCTCCTCCTCCTCCTCCTCCTCCTCCTCCTCCTCCTCCTCCTCCTCCTCCTCCTCCTCCTGGGGGCTGCTTGGCATCGTTCGGACGTGTTCATTTTTTGCTCGGCGAGGACCATCGTGGGGAGCAGCTGGCGCGCACCCCGCGAACAGATGGACGCACGAGGCCGACGAAGGCACGGGGAACGGGCGTCCGAGCGATGGCGAGGCTGCGGCCAGGAGCTTCGGCTCAACGTGTCGCGCCGCCGGTTCTGGCCCATCGCGCCTCGGCGCGACACGCTCTCCACGCCTCGTTCCCCGAGCGGCAACGTCCCGAGCCTCTCCGAGCCTCCCACCCAGCGGAGCGGAGCGGCGCGCTACCCGCTCGCAGGGCACAGCGTGTCGCCAGGGCCGCCGCAGCGGCACGGTTAGGAAAAAAGCTCCTGACAGTGTGTCCGTCCATTCTTGCTCTTTCGGCCCTTGCTTCTCTGCCCTCCATCTGTGGCCGTCGATGCGTGCGCTCGAGTGGCACGTTCTGTGCTAATCAGCTCAGCGCGTCCCGCTATTGCCTTCGCTGCGTTGGACCAACCGGCCGCGACACAAAACATGTGTGTGTGTGTGTGTGTCGACTAGGCGTAAGAGTGACCCTTCGCTGGATTGACCTTCTGGGCGGGCCCATTTGGGGTCCCCCTCTTGCCGAACGCGATGCGATAGCAGCGTCTTTCGCGCTTGGGATGCCCCCCCCCCCCCGCGTCCCCCCCCCCGAGAGCCGCACACCAAGGTCGCTCTTGCCCAGGCTCGCTCTCAGCTGCGTGTGGCCAAGTGTGTGTGTGTGTGTGTGTGTGTGTGTGTGTGTGTGCGCGTGCGTGCGAGGCTCTCTGTGCCACTGTGGCTGTCGCCAGCGGTTCGGGCCACCGCCCACCTCTCGCCTCTTCTTCTCGGCTCGTCGTCTTGGCCCCCGCTCCAATGATGCCTCTGGCCTCCTGCACTCGGCCCCTACCTCAGCAGCCATTGCCGTTCCTTCGTGTGCTCCTGCAGCTGGTGCCGCGAGAAGGGGGGGGCCCGCCGAGCAGGTGCCCTGCTGAGCAAGTGCGTGAAGGTGTGGGTCTCGCAGCCCCCCCCGAAGGACACTTCGTGCCGTCCCGCAGGCGTGCTCCGTACCCAGAGATCCAACGCCCTGATTTGAGTTCGGGGTTCCTGGAAGTCTCGCTCCCATCCCCGGGACCGGATTTTCATCCCGAGTCGTTTCTTTCAGGTTTTGGTGCCCGGTAAGGGCCCCCAGAGGTCGAGAGCGGCGAAGCAACTCCATCTTGCTCTCGTTGCAATGCGTTGGATCTTTGGGTTACCTTACGATCTCAATTCTCACGTGCTCCTCGCACGGGCCGTGCAGTACCCCCCAGGGGCTCTTCAGCTCGCCCGCAGGGGCACGAGGAGGTGAGTGTAAAATCGGGCATGTCCCGCACAGGAAGAATAATCAAAAACAGTCAAAAATAGTCGGGGGAAGATCCTTGACTATTTCGAAGTATTGTTTGATTATTTTTTGTTTTTCATCCTAATTCCGCTTGTAGGAGGACATGCCCGACCT